TTTGAATATAAATGCATTTAAATGTTTGAATTGAATGTAATTCGACTTAGTGTTTGCAGTGGTATTTAAGTAAATTCTAATAAATATTTTGAATAAAAAAAAAAAAATTCAGTTGTTTTTTTCAAAAATCTTGGGATTCTGTTATTATTGTGCTTAGATTGAAATTTAAAAACTGATTACGTACATAATTTTGGTGGTGATACTAGGTGCGTTCTTGCCAAAGGGCAGATTTTATAAACTTTATTTAAATATATATAAAGAATATATCTTACCTCACAGGCAACTTGTAGCTGAACAAAATTCTGGCAAAGGCCATGTTCAATGTTTTGCGCTTTTGCCTCAATGGCGCAAAGAATATATTCCACCCTTATCAAGCCATATATTATTAGTCGACTAGACACTTTCTAGAAGCCAGTACAGACGAATGTGTATCTCTAAGTAAACTAGGACGCACATTTGACGACTGACGCTCTTTCATATAGTCCCAAACTAGGAAAGAATTAATATTTGTGTCATCGTCCGATAGCGCGATTCTTCTGAAAGTGAACAGGCCGTTTAATGCATGTTTGTTGATGCACTTCCACTCTGCGAGCAAACTAGCAAAAGTGCAATTTTCGTCAACCGACGTGACAAGGGACAAGGTCAAAGGGCCTTTGTCGTCCACGACGTGGAGTATGAGGTTAACTTGCGACATCTTATAAAAAGATAATTTTTTTTTATGTCAAATGTCTCTAAGGAAAGTGTCCTCCTCCAGATCAGTCGGCCTTAATAGGTATCTTAAACATGCAGTAACAACCCTCCGTCCCGAAATGGTAACAAACATAATACTAACCTTCGTTGGCGTATTCAATAATACCGTAGTTGAATAAAAAAGGTTTTTTTTGAAAAAACGGTTTAAGAAAAAAATTCTTTTTTGACAGAATATTATTCGTGTAAACAAGATAGAAAAAAGCAATAAAAATAAACATCAGTAAAAGATTATCACGTATTTCAGGTATCGCATAAATCACATGGACTTTAACCAATCATATTCAATCAGGTATAATGTGAATAAAAGTCTAGGTGCTCTTACAGTAGGCCGTTTATATCAATGGGTAAACTTAACGTTAAAAGCTAACAGCACTGAAAATTAGAAAAGTGCTTCGATTAGAGAGGGAAACTTTAGCTGAGAGATTTGATTTGAAAGAATATTGAATATTCGTTATAATATAATGGGAAAAAAATTAGCAGATACTTATAATCATGAATCATAAAAAAACATCGTCAAAGGCACTTTACACTTACGATTTAATAACCTTGTATATAACATGAATAAAAATGAACTAAGTATATTAATTATATAGCATTTATACTACTAAAATTTTATTGGCTAAGGATTTTAAAAATTTACAAATCATGTAATTCGAATGATTAATGAATTCTGGAATTGATATCGACATGATTATTAATTTTCATCGTTAGAAATGTAGTTGTAATATTTACAAGTCAAATGAGGCTTTTTAAAAGTGCGAAAAACACTAATTGGAAATAAACGAAAATTTTAATTAATTGTAATTTCATGCTTTTTATTTTCAAGAAAATTTTTTGCTACAAATTTTATTTTGAAAATTTAATATTAACGTTTGTGTTGGTTTTGAAGGTGAAAGAACTATTGCAGGGCACACTGTAAAAATATTACTTCGGTCTCTTACTTTAAATCGATAAATAAAAATTGACACATCGCATGAACCTCGGTTGACAAAGCTGACCAACATTAGTTATAATGCTGGCCAGTACTATGTTCTTTCGAGAAAATTGTTTTCGGAATTTCAGAGTAGAACCATGATTATTGGGATGACAGCTATTTCCGCAAAGCAATTTTGCCCTTTACGTTGCAGTGATTTTTTTTCAAATTTACAACTACATTTTATATTGTCCTATTTGCAAGTCTAATTACATATAGGAACCCCCACAGCAAAAGGAGGCAGTGGGCAAAAAATTTGATTTTGTAATTTTATAAAAATTGTATTTCTAATACTTTAATTCTTCAAGAAATTGAGTTTAAAAAAAATTTTTTTTGCCCACTGCCTCTTTTTGCTATGGGGGTTCCCATATGAAGATTTATAACTTTTGGAAGAATAATATTCAATTAGGAAAATTGTTTAGGTCCTAAAGGAAGAATTTCAGCATATGTGGCATATATAATTAAAGTAGAAGGCGAAAATAACGATAACGATAAACAAAGATTTTACTTATTCTGTTAGGATGTTAGCATTGCTATAGCGACAGGTTGGTGCCTATTATGTGTAAAATTTTGTTCTCGTCATTTTAATCAGTACACCAAGGTTGATTTAAACATTAATTTTCGAGTATTTTCATTTTCATTTCTTTTTTTCCTTCACACGCGTTCGGATTCTATGTTGGGTTGATCCGGAATAGTCTCTGATTGGCCATTTCCTTTGAGTTTGCTTGGTTGAAAAAACATTCATAATTTACGTTAAAAAATACCATATCGATATGGTATTATCATCAAGGTCCCTATTTCTATACAACACAATACTGGTTTAACGTAAATTATAGATGCCACCTAAGAAGTTCTTGTTATATTACTGTAGTACTGTATAACATATATTAGTATTATATATCAATTATATTACAGTATACAGTATCTATATATAATTATATTTATAGTATATATTAGTTATCCCAATAGCCGGTTAGTGAAAAATGAGCTGTATACAATTGGAGCTACAATGTCATTGAGAAATTTGATAAAGAAATTGACGATATTACTAGTGATATATTAGAGCCAATGTCGAAATATCCTTATCTTTGTGGTATACTGTATTTATATGCCGGTTAGCTATATGGTAGTGCCAGTACAGAAAGGTACTTTCATGAGGTTAATTCTCTTACAATTGAGGGTCAAAAAAAAAGAAGAAATATCAGAAGCTACAGTATGTTCCAACAATTATATCCAATTTTAGGTAATTCAACTTTAATGTCACTTGAAGAATGAATTTATATCCTTCGCTATAAGTTTTATGGACTATTAGAACATTTGCACAAACGGATTTGATTGCCAGATATCGCAAAAATGTACCTTTTTTTTATAATTTTCTTCGAAGAAAGGTCACAGCTATTTTATTAAACTCTTGTGGAAACGTTTGAAAAATGGCATATCGCAGGTTTCCATATAGATTTTTAGAAGAAGAAATTTTATCTCATCGTATATATAGAATTGGCGGTAGAAATGAGTGTGAGCCACGTTTTTCTCAAAGATGAAAGTGCTTAAATTTGACAAGGTGGCAGTCGAACAATAAAACTCGTAGTATCATTGCTCAAGATCCATTAACATACTGGTATGTTAGTGAATGATAATCAAAATAAGAAATTGATCCTTTAAATGGAGTAGCTATCGGTATGAGTTCAGCTCATGCCATACCACTAAACATCTTTGAACAGCACAAGCATTTACAAATGAATATCACTGCTATGGATTCTACTATGGTATACCTCTTTTATTCGAATATTGAAAATTATTGGGAAAAAAGGTTATCAATTATGTCCTTATGAGAGCGAGTGAACATGATTGACGTCTATTTTAATGTTCTTCACTCAAGTTATTTGTAGATTCTTTATGATGGACAAAACATCCGACAACACAATTTATTGCTTAACATTGTTCGTAGAAACATGGTTGACTTAACAGGTTTACCGGCTAATGATTTTTTCAAATATAATAAGATCACCGCTTACGGGGATGATAATGTATTATCATCAAACTGCTTTAATGACAAGTGGTATGACGCAATGTATTTTGCAAAAAAGGTACCTAAAACAGAAGTAGAACACGACACATTCAATAATGTAGAGTTTTTAAGCGAAATGTTAAAAAATATTGCTCTGACTATAAGTATAAAGTATATAAACATTATAAGAGAAACCCAACAAAATTTGATGACATTAAATGAGATACTAGAAAGCAAAAAAACTTATCTATTAGAATGATTAGTTGACTTTATTAATAATTGCCAATACTTGATTATTCTCATGTTAAAAATATTAGGAAACATGTTCTCTTGAAATAATATGAGGAAATTATGAAATTGCAATATCAAGATAGGGAGTATGATAGTTTTAAATATTTTATTTTTATAATTTGCAATTCATATACTATCTTTAACATATTGCAAAATAAAAAAAAAAAATCCGGCAGTTATCCACATAAAATTATCTAAACAAGTTATGATACGACCAAGTTAGACGTAATGATTTAACACGATTACGATGCATGGTGCTAACATGCGATGACTTACATTATGCATTATTTCTAATAAGAACACCGTTCTAATCGTTACCTGTATAGTAAACATTATATTACAAACTTACGTTAAAAAAATAGTCTAATTTAATTTGTAAATAATTGTATCTTCCTTTCAAAACGCTAAAGATAATCGATGAACTATAAACCATTTAACGTTCTGCAAAGAAAGAATTTATTTCTGCGAAAGTTTTAAAACCAAGACCATCGAAATACGGCCCGATTTTGATAAGTCATTCGCAATAATATTTTTCAAAGACAAATTTAAACACCAATAGATTAAAATTGAATTATTGTCGGGGATGATACTGAAATATAATATTCTGATTGATTAGAGTTAGGGTTATCAATCAATGAGGTTTTTAATTTCAACAACATCTCTGACAATTATTACTACTTGAATCGAACGGCCAATCACCATTAAATGATAGTTTAAACGAAAGGCATAACTAATGACTTAATGTTGGACTATTCAATCTTCCACCGGTATACCTGCTGCCCAAATCCAAAACTAATATAGTTTGGGTTTGTCCCGCGCCCAAATCCCAAACTCTGGCCAAATTAATATCTCAAAAACTTACTAACAATCTTCATTTAAACAAATGGTATATATTTTATAATTATATTTGAGTAACGTCAAGGGAAACCCCACATGCTGGCTTTAATCGTCTATGAAAAATTTATTATCATGATAGGCTTTCCATAGGCGACTAACTGCACATAAAATATAATTGAAAGCCAACATGTGGGTTTTCCCTTGACGGCACTCATATAATATATATGCAAAATATCATTTATAGATGGTGTTTGTTTTTTGAGGGTTTGGGATTTGCCTGGGATTTGCCCGGGTTTTGCCAGCAAGTATAACTTCCACTACCACTATTTTTAATGAAGATAAATAAAATACATACCACTATTTTGTATTTGAGATTTAAGAGATAACTCCATTAATCTCCACCCATTCCTAGCATTCTTAATCCTTTTCCATCTACCAAGTTTGTGTTCTTGACCAACACCTGCTATAAGAAACGTTTTATCCTCTATGGTTGTAAATTGTAAATCATTCACAAATCCGATCAAAGGAATTTCCGTCAGCGGAATGAAAGAACGAACATTATCAATCAATTTCCAAAGACGAATATTCCCGTCCCATGAACCAGAAGCGAAAAGATCGGAATATCTCACAGTGGCTAATGTTGTTATCCAGTATGGAGTTTTAAGGGCACCTTCACTTTCAGAGTCGTATGTTTGCAATCCATGTGCAAGATTTTGTACGAAAACTGGTTTTTTTTTATTGATATTCCATAATGAAATGGCACTGAGATAAAAAGCTAATTACATCAATACACAATTTAAATAGGTAAATAAATAACATAATTAAATATCAATAAATTATCATACCCACTATCACCACCGCTAAGGAAATTATCTTCGTCAATCATGGCAACAACATCCAAGCTGCCTTCCTGGAACGTTTGACCATCTTCTGTTGCGCATTTTGTGCTACCACGAAATACTAATTGCGACCCCTCGACAATTTTCCATAATCTACATGTTCGATCTCGAGAACCAACAGTCACACAACGTTCACGCGAGAGAGTATCAATTGCCGTTATTTGATCTTGATGTCCAAATCTGTAAACACACATTTATAGCTCATAAATATAGTACAAAGTTTTGATTAATGAATTATGGATAGGAATTAAACATCCAAACTTACAGCGTTTCTACGTAACATAATTCATCGATATTCCACACCTTAACAGTACGATCTTGGGAAGCGCTATATAATTGATTATTTCCTTTACGAAACGCAAGGCCCTTTAAACGGTAGTTTAAATTTAATGTACGTATTATTTTAGGTGAGCTAGATACCCACCAGTGGGAAAAGAAAAAGATTTTGAATGCATACCGATACTGAATCTTTGTGTTGCGTAAAACATTTTAACAATTTATCATCTTTTGTAGACCATATATTGATCTTTTTGTCTGAACCACCGCTCGCCTAAAATTCACGGATATAAGTATTAATAAAAAGGAAAACAGCTTAACAATCATAAGTGAATTTACCATATAATTTTCGTCCGAACTAACTGCCAAAGCCAAAACATGGTTTGTGTGACCATCGAATTTCTTTACTTCTTTCCGGCCTCCAGGGAATACATGTAACTTTTTGCCAGTTTTTATGCACCCTATTAAAAAATATAAATAAGATAGTTTTAGATTACAAATGAAATTAAAATTATTATAAAAGTTTAAAAAAATATATATATTTAATTACATTTGATTATGGAATGATCTTTTGAACCGGTATAAAAAAATTGACCAGATTCTGCGATGGCTATACAAGTAACGGAAAGCTCATGACGGCCAGATTTTATAGTTCCAGAATCTATAGGAAACGAAAACTGTTGTACAACCAAACAAACACTTGAAGATATTCTTGAATTAACAAATCACTTTTATAGTAAAGTCTAAAAAAAGTATTATAGCATGATATTTACCGTATCTGCTATTATACGATGAGCTCGTCCTGTTTGTTCCAGCTGATAAATAATAATTAGTTTAATATTTCATAATTTCATTGAAAATTCAAAATTAAATTTAAATGCAATAATGTATATGTATACTCTACCACGTCTTTTCGTAACCGTTCGGCTATTAGATCTCGATCAATATCCTCAGCATCAAAGCCAGTTTCATCTATAATCAAGTTTAATGAAAAATATATATATTCTGCAAATTTTATAAACGAGAAGAACGCAAAAATACCTAAGCTTTCTTTAACGGATTCAATGTATTGTTTTGCAAGCCGTCTTCTTTTTTCAGTTGATGTCTCTATAATCTCCTCTTCATCACTTTCTTCTTGATTGCTTATGTCCTCTGAGTCTATATCATCATCATCGATAACACCAGGCCCAATATCATCACTACTTTCAATTTCTTCTTGTTCTATCTCCTTTTCTTTCCATTTTTTATTTGGCTTCTTATAAGACTTACTGCCTTTTATAGATCAAATAAAACTTATCAATATCATTAATTATACTAATTATATATTTTTTTTTATTGCGCTTTTTGACTTACCATTTGTCGTGTCGGATAAATTGCGTTTTTTAGGCATGAAAAAAATTTTGATTTTTTTGATTTTTACTTTTTGATTATCGTTATAAATCCTAAAAATCCAGAAATCAGGTTGTACAATTTTGCAGATCGCTATTACCGTGACCAGAAATTTCAGCCAATCATTAGGACCTGATTTATAAATTATTAACGTTAAGCCCGGACATGATTATTAATTTTCATCGTTAGAAATGTAGTTGTAATATTTACAAGTCAAATGAGGCTTTTTAAAAGTGCGAAAAACACTAATTGGAAATAAACGAAAATTTTAATTAATTGTAATTTCATGCTTTTTATTTTCAAGAAAATTTTTTGCTACAAATTTTATTTTGAAAATTTAATATTAACGTTTGTGTTGGTTTTGAAGGTGAAAGAACTATTGCAGGGCACACTGTAAAAATATTACTTCGGTCTCTTACTTTAAATCGATAAATAAAAATTGACACATCGCATGAACCTCGGTTGACAAAGCTGACCAACATTAGTTATAATGCTGGCCAGTACTATGTTCTTTCGAGAAAATTGTTTTCGGAATTTCAGAGTAGAACCATGATTATTGGGATGACAGCTATTTCCGCAAAGCAATTTTGCCCTTTACGTTGCAGTGATTTTTTTTCAAATTTACAACTACATTTTATATTGTCCTATTTGCAAGTCTAATTACATATAGGAACCCCCACAGCAAAAGGAGGCAGTGGGCAAAAAATTTGATTTTGTAATTTTATAAAAATTGTATTTCTAATACTTTAATTCTTCAAGAAATTGAGTTTAAAAAAAATTTTTTTTGCCCACTGCCTCTTTTTGCTATGGGGGTTCCCATATGAAGATTTATAACTTTTGGAAGAATAATATTCAATTAGGAAAATTGTTTAGGTCCTAAAGGAAGAATTTCAGCATATGTGGCATATATAATTAAAGTAGAAGGCGAAAATAACGATAACGATAAACAAAGATTTTACTTATTCTGTTAGGATGTTAGCATTGCTATAGCGACAGGTTGGTGCCTATTATGTGTAAAATTTTGTTCTCGTCATTTTAATCAGTACACCAAGGTTGATTTAAACATTAATTTTCGAGTATTTTCATTTTCATTTCTTTTTTTCCTTCACACGCGTTCGGATTCTATGTTGGGTTGATCCGGAATAGTCTCTGATTGGCCATTTCCTTTGAGTTTGCTTGGTTGAAAAAACATTCATAATTTACGTTAAAAAATACCATATCGATATGGTATTATCATCAAGGTCCCTATTTCTATACAACACAATACTGGTTTAACGTAAATTATAGATGCCACCTAAGAAGTTCTTGTTATATTACTGTAGTACTGTATAACATATATTAGTATTATATATCAATTATATTACAGTATACAGTATCTATATATAATTATATTTATAGTATATATTAGTTATCCCAATAGCCGGTTAGTGAAAAATGAGCTGTATACAATTGGAGCTACAATGTCATTGAGAAATTTGATAAAGAAATTGACGATATTACTAGTGATATATTAGAGCCAATGTCGAAATATCCTTATCTTTGTGGTATACTGTATTTATATGCCGGTTAGCTATATGGTAGTGCCAGTACAGAAAGGTACTTTCATGAGGTTAATTCTCTTACAATTGAGGGTCAAAAAAAAAGAAGAAATATCAGAAGCTACAGTATGTTCCAACAATTATATCCAATTTTAGGTAATTCAACTTTAATGTCACTTGAAGAATGAATTTATATCCTTCGCTATAAGTTTTATGGACTATTAGAACATTTGCACAAACGGATTTGATTGCCAGATATCGCAAAAATGTACCTTTTTTTTATAATTTTCTTCGAAGAAAGGTCACAGCTATTTTATTAAACTCTTGTGGAAACGTTTGAAAAATGGCATATCGCAGGTTTCCATATAGATTTTTAGAAGAAGAAATTTTATCTCATCGTATATATAGAATTGGCGGTAGAAATGAGTGTGAGCCACGTTTTTCTCAAAGATGAAAGTGCTTAAATTTGACAAGGTGGCAGTCGAACAATAAAACTCGTAGTATCATTGCTCAAGATCCATTAACATACTGGTATGTTAGTGAATGATAATCAAAATAAGAAATTGATCCTTTAAATGGAGTAGCTATCGGTATGAGTTCAGCTCATGCCATACCACTAAACATCTTTGAACAGCACAAGCATTTACAAATGAATATCACTGCTATGGATTCTACTATGGTATACCTCTTTTATTCGAATATTGAAAATTATTGGGAAAAAAGGTTATCAATTATGTCCTTATGAGAGCGAGTGAACATGATTGACGTCTATTTTAATGTTCTTCACTCAAGTTATTTGTAGATTCTTTATGATGGACAAAACATCCGACAACACAATTTATTGCTTAACATTGTTCGTAGAAACATGGTTGACTTAACAGGTTTACCGGCTAATGATTTTTTCAAATATAATAAGATCACCGCTTACGGGGATGATAATGTATTATCATCAAACTGCTTTAATGACAAGTGGTATGACGCAATGTATTTTGCAAAAAAGGTACCTAAAACAGAAGTAGAACACGACACATTCAATAATGTAGAGTTTTTAAGCGAAATGTTAAAAAATATTGCTCTGACTATAAGTATAAAGTATATAAACATTATAAGAGAAACCCAACAAAATTTGATGACATTAAATGAGATACTAGAAAGCAAAAAAACTTATCTATTAGAATGATTAGTTGACTTTATTAATAATTGCCAATACTTGATTATTCTCATGTTAAAAATATTAGGAAACATGTTCTCTTGAAATAATATGAGGAAATTATGAAATTGCAATATCAAGATAGGGAGTATGATAGTTTTAAATATTTTATTTTTATAATTTGCAATTCATATACTATCTTTAACATATTGCAAAATAAAAAAAAAAAATCCGGCAGTTATCCACATAAAATTATCTAAACAAGTTATGATACGACCAAGTTAGACGTAATGATTTAACACGATTACGATGCATGGTGCTAACATGCGATGACTTACATTATGCATTATTTCTAATAAGAACACCGTTCTAATCGTTACCTGTATAGTAAACATTATATTACAAACTTACGTTAAAAAAATAGTCTAATTTAATTTGTAAATAATTGTATCTTCCTTTCAAAACGCTAAAGATAATCGATGAACTATAAACCATTTAACGTTCTGCAAAGAAAGAATTTATTTCTGCGAAAGTTTTAAAACCAAGACCATCGAAATACGGCCCGATTTTGATAAGTCATTCGCAATAATATTTTTCAAAGACAAATTTAAACACCAATAGATTAAAATTGAATTATTGTCGGGGATGATACTGAAATATAATATTCTGATTGATTAGAGTTAGGGTTATCAATCAATGAGGTTTTTAATTTCAACAACATCTCTGACAATTATTACTACTTGAATCGAACGGCCAATCACCATTAAATGATAGTTTAAACGAAAGGCATAACTAATGACTTAATGTTGGACTATTCAATCTTCCACCGGTATACCTGCTGCCCAAATCCAAAACTAATATAGTTTGGGTTTGTCCCGCGCCCAAATCCCAAACTCTGGCCAAATTAATATCTCAAAAACTTACTAACAATCTTCATTTAAACAAATGGTATATATTTTATAATTATATTTGAGTAACGTCAAGGGAAACCCCACATGCTGGCTTTAATCGTCTATGAAAAATTTATTATCATGATAGGCTTTCCATAGGCGACTAACTGCACATAAAATATAATTGAAAGCCAACATGTGGGTTTTCCCTTGACGGCACTCATATAATATATATGCAAAATATCATTTATAGATGGTGTTTGTTTTTTGAGGGTTTGGGATTTGCCTGGGATTTGCCCGGGTTTTGCCAGCAAGTATAACTTCCACTACCACTATTTTTAATGAAGATAAATAAAATACATACCACTATTTTGTATTTGAGATTTAAGAGATAACTCCATTAATCTCCACCCATTCCTAGCATTCTTAATCCTTTTCCATCTACCAAGTTTGTGTTCTTGACCAACACCTGCTATAAGAAACGTTTTATCCTCTATGGTTGTAAATTGTAAATCATTCACAAATCCGATCAAAGGAATTTCCGTCAGCGGAATGAAAGAACGAACATTATCAATCAATTTCCAAAGACGAATATTCCCGTCCCATGAACCAGAAGCGAAAAGATCGGAATATCTCACAGTGGCTAATGTTGTTATCCAGTATGGAGTTTTAAGGGCACCTTCACTTTCAGAGTCGTATGTTTGCAATCCATGTGCAAGATTTTGTACGAAAACTGGTTTTTTTTTATTGATATTCCATAATGAAATGGCACTGAGATAAAAAGCTAATTACATCAATACACAATTTAAATAGGTAAATAAATAACATAATTAAATATCAATAAATTATCATACCCACTATCACCACCGCTAAGGAAATTATCTTCGTCAATCATGGCAACAACATCCAAGCTGCCTTCCTGGAACGTTTGACCATCTTCTGTTGCGCATTTTGTGCTACCACGAAATACTAATTGCGACCCCTCGACAATTTTCCATAATCTACATGTTCGATCTCGAGAACCAACAGTCACACAACGTTCACGCGAGAGAGTATCAATTGCCGTTATTTGATCTTGATGTCCAAATCTGTAAACACACATTTATAGCTCATAAATATAGTACAAAGTTTTGATTAATGAATTATGGATAGGAATTAAACATCCAAACTTACAGCGTTTCTACGTAACATAATTCATCGATATTCCACACCTTAACAGTACGATCTTGGGAAGCGCTATATAATTGATTATTTCCTTTACGAAACGCAAGGCCCTTTAAACGGTAGTTTAAATTTAATGTACGTATTATTTTAGGTGAGCTAGATACCCACCAGTGGGAAAAAAAGCAAATCAACTGCATCTAGTCGACGAAAACAATTGATTGATAGAGTAAGTTTTTTTGTTTGTTTTTTTGTATATTTATGCATTAAACTTCAATCGATCTTTGTTTCAAGGTTCGTGCTAAAGGTCAAAAAACGATCGAAGAAGCATTTCAAGAAATGGCTAACGCGACTGCAAAAAAACGTCAAAGAACAATGTTGAACCGCTTGTTAGATATGACAGATTCTATCTCTTTGTATCCTTTAAAAATGAATGAAAAGATTGCAATTATATGAATTTGTATGGTCTTCTTTAATTGAAAATAGCATGTATACGTCATCTAGCAAAAATGTCATGTACCTCGGAGAAGTCATATCGACTTTAAAAGAGAGTTTGAATATTCCAATATCACAGAGTAAGCCTTTTTGTTTGATTTTGTTTAACAATAAGATTTATATTATATTTTTTTTTCTTTATATCTAATAGATGAAATTGTCGAACATCTTGAGCATTTATCAAAAATTGCGCCAGATTGGTGTACTATTTCGGATAGCTTGGACCGGAAGAAACTTATGAAAATTAGTCGTTTGTTTCCTGTGAAAGATGTGCGTGCGCTAATACAAAAAAAACTGGACGAAATCTAATTGTCAAAATTTTGTAAAACAAAAAAAATAATAAAGAACACAAATCTGGCTGCCTTTATTGCTTAATTTTCGTGTTTACCAATTTCCAATTTAGTATTACTCTAATAAATTTTGATAATCCGGTGTCAAAAAGAGGATATTTCAGTATTTTTACAAATTAAAGGTTTTGGTTAGAATAAATCTAAAATTCCTATTATTATTAATTCTTTAAAATCTATATATACATCAAAATCAATAACAAACTCGTTTAATTCAGTCAGGGATTTTTCGAAGTTGTGTAACGCAGATCATTTCGTTTTTTGGTAAAGATCTGCAATTTTGTGGTACAAATTTTGACCAAATTTTGG